TGGTTACAACCACTTCCACTTCTGCACTGCAATTGCAGAATTTTGGTAGGAAAAAAATTACACTTGAAATTTCCACTGACCTGTCTTACTATAAATTCAGGACTACAAATTTTAAGTGGGCACTCAGCACCACCCAGAAACCCACTCTCTCCCCTGAAATGTTTATTTTCCTACTTGCAAAATGACCTTATCATACCATTCCCATTCCTCAAACCCACTACATCCCTTCTTTCCCTTTTTTCCTCCCCACCAAGCCTTTATCTAACACTTCACAGAAAATCGAGATTAATGCCAAGGAACTCCATCATTGCCCCTGCAGATCTGCCATCCTACTTGCAGCTGTACTTGCGTGCTTTGCCTTTTGCCTGTTGCACTGTGAGAAGTGTCTCTGCACGAGAGGCCACCCCTCACCCGTTGTGTTTTGGATCCCATTCCCTCTAGCCTTCTGGAGAATCTTGTTCCTGCAACTATCCTGCAAATCTCACCTTTCTCCTGTGCATTGTCCAGCTGGCCCTCCTTACTGGATTGGATCCATTAGCATATAAACAAACCCTAATGTGTCCCATCTTAAACACAATCTTCATTCATCTCACTTTACTCCCATCCTGCAACTCTCTGTTCTCTTTCAAAGCAAAATTTATGGGAAGAATTTATTGTAGATGATGCTATATTTTCCACCTCACATTTTATCGTCTTTCCATTACAAACCAGACTTTTGTTCCCATCATTCTATTGAAATGTTTTCATCCCCCGTGATTTCCACATTGCCAATTCCAACAGTTAATTCTTTATCCTCATTCTACTTCCCTTTCCAGCAGCATTTGACAGACTTGACCACTGTCTCCTCAAAACACTTCTCTTGGCTTTCTTGACATCGTCTTCGATTGCTTTCATCTTGCCTCACTGGTCACTCCTTAGTTTCCTAGGCTGGCTCCTCTTTGGTGTGACCCCTGAAATGATGAACTCAGGGCTTTGTCCTTGATTCTCCTTCCTTATGTAGCCATTTTTTCTCCCTGGGAAACTGAGTCCAGTCCTACGGTAGTAATGCTGGTGAGTCCCAAGTCTGTGTTTCTGGTGCTGACCACTCCTTTGAGACCAAATTCCTATATTCAGTTGTCTATTTTGCATTTCCTCTTGATGCCTAATGTGCATCTCAAATATAACAAGTCTAACCCAGAAATCTTGATTCATCTCTCTCTAGAATCTGATCCTCTCCAGTATTCAACCCAATTAATATCCAATTACTCACACTGAAATCTAGGACACAGTTGTGACTGCTCGTACTCTCGTGACCTTTCTAGTGTTAGGGTCCTGGCTTCCGAGGCTTCTCCAGAGAACAAACTACACAGGCATAGAGATGTAAATACAGGCAAAGTCTTTCCGAGCTGCCGACCCCCAGGCAACTTTAGGTATTGCTTATATAGGATTTTCACAGCATTACACCGAAGCCCGCGCATTTCTACAACCAATAATTTTTAAACACATTCTATATTGTAATCTTTCAGGAAACACTCCAGCTGCTTGACCGCTTCAATTGTTATCTCTTGCTTACCCAAGCATGTCTGTGTGACTTATCACGGATCACGCCCCCAGGCTGTTGCCCACCTCTAGTTATCTAACTTAAAGCAGGCGCATTTCTAAGCTTAGCCTCGGGTTGTTTATTCAAAACTGGATGGCCCATGCTGAGAACAAAGCACACAGGCAGTTAGGTTAAATGATGTTATTAGTCCTCTTTCCTGACTCTTGATGCCCCCTGCCCTCCTTTACACTAGGATGGTGCTGTGCCCAGTATCCATCTCCCACGTGACCACTTCTCTCCCCTGCCAAAGTCTTAGGTCCAGTCAACATTGTTTTTTCATAAGACTAATTCAAAGCCTCTTAGTGGTCTCCCTGTTTCTGTTCTTGCCCCAGTATAGCCCACTGTACATACTGCCACCACAGTGATCTTCTCAAGTATAAATCAAATCACATCACTTCCCTGCTTCGAATTCTGCAGTGGTGTCCTTTTGGCCATTAGAATAAAATCCAATCTCTTCACAAAGGTAGACATCAGCTTCTGTAACCCTGGGATACAAGTTTTGGCCAGTTTGTTATAGAATGGCTTGTAACTTAATTTCAGTCTAAAAATATTAACCAAAATAAAGCATGTATTTCACTGCTGGCTTTACTATTTAATATTTCTAAACTTTGTAGGGGTCTGGTCATGTGATATCATGCTGGACACCTAAATTATCCCCACTTAGAATATATTATACTGTTATCTACAAACTAGATTTAGTGCTTAGAAAAGGAAAAGCTTGTTTTTGGCTTTCCTCTTCCTGGAAAAAATAAATGGTAATAACACATCCTTCTGTATCTTTCCCTACACAGAACAGAGCTGCGAGTTAAAATACACACTTGACAATCTGAGTAGTCCAACATTCACTTTTTGGAAACAGAGTATATACACTAGATTATCAACTGTCTTTGGGCTCCTCTCATTTCCCACTGCCCCCACTAGTTGTGCCTGTTGACTAGAGTTCAGATTAACATTCCAGATTTAAAACACAAAGACTCTCAATGCTTCTAGCTATGGCCAAGGAAGGGTGAGGTCGGGGAACAAAGTGCTTTCAGTATTTGCAAAGTGTTCAGTCTTCTTCTTTGAATAGGTTCTCCTGAGGGATTAGCAAATATTTTTTTTGTGTGTGATTTTTTTTGTGATTTTTAAAATCACAAATCAACCATAGTATTCCTCTTGGATTTTACATTTTAATTTCTTTCAGAGTTTTTTTTTTAATAATTGACTAAAACTGCACTTCTGAAATAGTAACTTATTTATGCTTAGAAGATATTGTCTTGTCTGGGAGGAACAACTCTTCCTCTACCCTCTTGCATTCAGTAAATGACGCCTGTGAATTGAACTTCTGTATCTTTCCTTACATAGAACACAAATGCAGATTAGCAGGAGAAAAGGCACACAATTTCTATTAATATTAACATTCACAGGAGTTCACAGAAAAGAAATGGAACTCCAAGAAGTGGTTAAACTTGGGGGCTTATATACCATGTTAACAAAGGAAAGGAATTTGATCTTCAAGGAATAATAAATTGTTGGGAAGTGACTAGGAAATATGTGGAGGTCTAATGAAAGATAAGAGTTCTGTTAGCAAGGTCTGTTTATGCATGTGTAGCTCCAGGAGGTGGGAAGGGGGTTCCCCTCCTGGAACAAATTCCCCTATGAATACAGTGAAACCAAAGTAAGGCAAGCAGAAGGGCAGGCTGGGAGAAACCATTTTTATTGCTCACAGCTTTCTCGAGTTCACTAGCCCAGTAGGGCTCTGTCTCTCCAGCTGTGGTGCGCATGCCAGCAAGTCCTCTCTCCCTGTTGGCCTAGGTTGGTTCGGAGAGGCAGGGAAGTCAGAGTACAAGGTGATTAGAATGAAAAAGCAAATAATGAAGACACTACACTGGAAAAGTGCAGAGACAAAACGTTATAAGTTGAGCAGTTGAGGTTTATTTAAAGCAAAAAGGTGGGCACTCAGAGAAGGGGGAGTGTGGGCTACCTCAGAGAAGAGGCACCCCTAAGGTTTTAGGGTCTGGGGTTTTATAGGCGGTTGAGGATTTTCAAAGGGTAAGGGGTATGGACTTGTTAAATGGTCCCCGAATGTTCATCCTTGATGAGTCATTATGTCTTTCTTTTGGTTAGTTCTCCAGGTAATTCTGCAAAATTAACATAAGAAATTTACTGCTGATTTCTTCCCAGAATAGAAGCTTTTTGGTCTGGGGACATATCAGTTAAGACCGCCTGCCCTGCCCAGGGTGGGCTGAATAATTGTTTGTTTGCTAAACAGTATGTTGAGAATCTTACTTCTTAACTTCTTGAATTTCTTAAAATGCAATTTTGGCTTTAAGGTGGGATCTTCTGTCTTTATTATGCTGTTTATAGCTGGGCCTTTTAGCAGGCTGGAGTAAATTTTACAATGGCATGATGTAATTGGTACAATGAAGACATGGGTTATGCTGAGATACTTCTCTTTATCTGGGGAATATTCAAACATTCAAAGGCAAGTTGCTCTGGACCTTTTGAGCTTTAACTGTTTAACTCATTAACTCTGAGTCTTTTCTGGCTTTCTAGTTTTAACTGGTTAACTGAGTGCTTTCTAGTGGGCTTTACTGAGCTTATTCTCTTTCCACCCTGCTCATATCTATTTTCCTGCCTAACATCCCTGGTCCCCACTAGCAAAACCCACACCCTGCTCCATTTCTCAGCAGCCACAGCCCACTCTCTACTTCCCCACCCTCCCCTTCTGAGAGGAACTCCATGGGCCAGTCCTTGGTGATTGGCAGACGCCAGACCAATTATGTACCTGGAACAGAGGGGCGGAGAGAATGGCTGTTTTCTCTCTACCTCTTGTCTTGGATTCACCTGAGGCTGCTTTAGGCTTCAGCTGTAAACACCCATTGATATATAAATGGCCTAAGGCCAGGTGGTAGATTCTGGAAATTCTGCCATTTACCCCACGGCAGCTCATCTCAGTGTGGACTCCGGGTTTCTTGTGGTAAAAGTGCTCCTCTCTTCCAGGTATAAAGTTGGGGTTAGGGAAAGCACCTTTTCCAAGGGGAACTTTATGCCCTGCTTTTAGGTTGATAAGAGGAGAGCAGATAACCACTTCTTGAATCTGTTGATTCTCAGTTGCCTCCAGCTCAAAAAAACCCTTGTATCAAAGTGGCATATTTTGGGGCGGCATATTCTTATCCTCTTCAGTATAAGACAAAACCCCTCAAATTAAGTCAGATGGTTGGCTAAAATCCTGTGCTGTGGTGTAACCTGAAGTTACTTCAATCTCTCCAATGCTTAAGAAATTGAGAGTCCAGCTGAGGGGAGGGGAGTTGAAGTGACAGAGGGTGTTGTGGAAGGTGGAGCAGATGCAGGCTTTGGCCCCTGCAGGCCTAGCATCGTAGAAGTGAGGGACTCGCTTTGTAAAGTTGTCTACTTTAATTTTCCTTTTCTCTCTTGTTAGGTATGTACATAGGCCTCAGTTTTTCTGGATTTTGGAATTATGATGATACTATATGGTATAACCTGACAGATACGATCTATTCTTTGGTTGGAGAAGGTAATTCTTCTAATGGTGCTTCTGTTAACAGCATTTCATTTATATTAACACTTGAACAGTATTTATTAAATGTCTTTGCTTTGCTTAGGAGCTCACATTTTCCTTACTTTTAAACCCATTGTCTAATTTCTTCCCTAGGGCACTCAGGGCTCTCAGTGGTGGATATGGTTTTAACAAATCATTTTTTAGTTATCCTCTCCTCTTTGGGTCTTTTTGTAAGTGGAGATCTTCGGTATCCATCATCTCCTGTCTTAACGGTATGTGAATTGCTTTGTAATAATTAACCTTAACTATCTTATGTGATATAAAGAACAAATACTGGATACTTGGGCTAGATGTGGAAATGAATGCTTGGAACTGACATGCTTCTTCCTTTTCAAAAGCATAATACAGTAACTTTTCCTTTTCCTTTAGAGTTGAATATACTATTGGAAATGGTGTTAGTTTTACTGCCGTACAAATTTTTAGTAAGTTTTAATATGTACAGAAAGAAAATTAGCTATGTGTTTATAGTTACATCTGTTCCCAAATGCTTTAGGGTAATTTATAAAGCTAAATATAGTATTACAAAGTAGCGTAAGTTAAAAGTAACTTTTGGGATTGAGAGAAGGGGAATATACATTTTGGTGAGGATATGCCATGTGCACATCATGAAATTCTTAAACATGTTAATAAACATCTCTCAAAAATGACCACAATAGGTCAGAAAATAAGGTCAGAAAAACAGACTTAAGAACAGGAGAAGAAATGAAGGGGAAGTAGAAGGGGCAGTTGTATTGGTTGAGAAGCAGGTATTTCTTACACATGGTAATTATTACCTGTCTTCAGGTTTGCAAATACTCATAGCCTTGCTCTTTCCTCACCATCTCTGAGAAAGTACCATTTGTTCAGGCAACAGATAGATCTGGCGCAGAGTTGAAGAAGCTGTAACAGTGACCTCAAGTTCAAGCACAGAGAATTAGGCATGTGCTGGACATGGTGAGGACCTCGCACCTGCAGGGCTGCCCTGGACTGGGCAGAAGAAACAATGGCCCCAGAGGAAATAACAGGTTAAGGGTGTGACTTCCTAATCTCAAACTGGTGGCAGACTTAGTCTCTTTCTGCACACTTCTTAACTCTCCCATTGAAATCACTAAATGATTTTTGTAAAACCTCAAATCGTTTCTGGAATCAAGTTGAAGTATAAACAAACTAATAAAACGGTGAAACAAAGCAAAGACTGAAGGGAAATCTCCAGCATATTCTGTAAATTTTTTAGAGGCTTGTTTTGGCATGTGACACTCCTAACTGCTTGGATATGAAAAGCATAATTTCCTTTAGTATAATTTATATTACTATGTGTTGTTCTGCCTATGCCAGCAAAAATTAAAGTTTCTTTTTTTCTTCTAGTTTTCAAGGGCAGACTTTTGTGGTTTTGAAAGGGTAAGAAGCTTTAAATTTTCAATGTTGGTTAGAAGATATGTGTTTTCTTGGTCACTTAAGAGATGAGGAACAAGACAATAATTTACAATATAGATTAATCTTGTTACTATAATATTATTTACAGTTTGAACCAAAAAAATATATTTCCATCAACCCTTAAGCAATGATCTTCCCTTCTGCTTCAAAGGAAGAAGTGCCCCACCTAGTTTAAGAGGCCACCCCCAACTCCTTTATATGTTCCAGGATTGCTGTGGCTGTTCACATGAATTCTGCGCAAAGGTGCCTTTTTAACAAAAGAACAGGGGCTGAAATTTGGCTAATACTTTACTCCCCAATCTATCTACTACCATGTAGATCTATGCCTACCTGGAGAAAGGGGCACTCTCCAATTTGCACAAAAGTGTCATATAAGCTAACCACAGCTGGTCTTTTTTGTGGGATTTGCTTCCATCTCCCTTCTCTATTACAAAGTCATATTTTGTGATTCAACTAGGTCATTCCCATGAACATATATGAATGCTTCAGTTTGGAAACTGCAACAAAACTGAGTATTCTTAGCCTTTTGCCATGTCCCTTCCCCATTCCATCTTCATAGATACCTATGGACACACACGCATGTGGATACACATGTGTGCTCACACCATCTAGAAGGCAGGAACACTTATTTCTCATCAAACAAATGGAACTGACTTCTTGTCATTCTAATTGGAGAAAATGTGAAGCAGAGAACTGGCCAGATAGGTAACAGATTTCCATTAGAAAGGACTCGGGGAAATAACTATCAAAATGCGATTCCAAACCTAGCTGAACTATATCACTGAAGAATGAGGGTGAGGAAAACAAATTTGCACAAATAGACATTAGGTAGGCTTACCACCCAGAGATGCCCATGGACCAGTGGGACTCCAGGATCCATGTCTGGAGCAGTACCTGGCACAAGGTAGCCACTTGGTAGATATTTGTTCAAAAAATGCAATTGGTGTTAGGAAGAAAAAATGGTTGCAAATTTTGTACCCAACAATTGCATAGATCCAAAACTCCAGACAATACAAGGAGAATGGAGATAATTTTCAGTTCTAAATTTTTATGTTTTTTTCTATTTTATATCTTAAGTCTACATATTGCCTAAGTAATATTTTTGTTTGTTTTATGTAGGTTGACTATATCAAAGGAAAATTGTGGTATAATGAAAGATGTTTTGCTAACAGAGAACACTTTGAAGGTAAATTTTAGTTAAAGAAATATTAACAGGCTTTTTTCAACATAGCATATATAGATTAAATAAAATGACATTAAAATAGAAAAAAATGTAGATAGGTTTGTTTTTTATGTGTTAATGGCCTACAACTGAAGTAAAAAGTTCATTTAAATATGAGACAATTGGCATGATTGTTGTAAGTGCAAGAAAATTGTATTTGAATATGCTTAATTAATGATACCTTTAGTCATATAGATCCTAATTGTAATTTCTGCACCTTTATATTTTATAGTTGATTATGTTGCTGTCACCTTTGAGAGAAACAAGACCCTAAGTGAGGTATGGTATTGAATATTTTGAAAGGTAAAAGATTTTATTGTGCACAATTCATGGATTGTTTTTCATTTAAAAAATAGTAATTCTACAGACTGAAAAGCTTAGCAATCATTCTTTGCTTCCAGTGGAGCCTCTACTTGGGTTTAATAGTAATTACTTAATTATGTTAAAGCTGGAACCCACATATGGTTCTAGTAAAAACAATCTATGTCAGAAAGGATGCATTGCATATTTTCTGGACTCACATCCCCCAAAAGAGAAGTAACGGCATCAGAGATTTATCACTATTATTTGTAGTCAATCAGGACAACACAATGGCTCATTAGTTTATTTGCTAAAGGGAACTAATTAGAACTTGAATGTCAAGAACTGCATTAACTTTTCCTTTCCCTTGTAGGCAAGCTCTTGTTTTTATGGCAAAGAACCATTTCTTGAATGGCTACCTTGCTTACCTCAGATTTCAAAAGGAATAAAAGCCATTCCTTCAATTGTGAAAACATTTCTTGTTGACCCAGAGCGTAGAACTGGAGTCTACCTCCTCTCTAACCAGGTAGGCCTTACAGCCCAAAGGTGATTGTTCTTGACACTGTGGACAGGGAAATTTACAATAGCAAAACTTATTTCCAGCATTCTTGTTATCTTTGACAATCGAAGTTGATAAAATTGACTACAGCAAATTATTTATGGTTAATAATATAGTTTAAGACTCCTTAGAGATAGATATCTTGCCTCTGATTATCATTCAGTGTGGTGGAAATGGATGATTTTTGCGTAGTAATTCTTCTTTGTTTATTCTGCAGAAGAATATAAACTGTATAAATTTATGTTCCATAAAATTGTCAGTTTATATGAACAAAAAAAATGGAACTAGACATACCCTCATTGTTTTAGTGGAGGAAAAAATATTTTCTTCTACTTAGTTTCTGAAATTGAGGCTCTTCAAGTTAAGCTGACAAAAGACAGGTTCACAGGAGACAAAGAAACAATTGATTTATGCATGTAGTGTATATACATGTGGGTGAAAATCAGTGATGAGTAACTAAAAAAGGTGTTTAAAATTTGGAAGTTATATTCCATCTTTGTAGCTTAATGGGGGTGGTGGTAAGAAAGGTGCTTAAGGGGTATTCTTAGCCTTTTGCCTTTTGCCAATGAACAGATAATGGGTTTACAGGAGAATAAGCAGGAGATAGGAAGTTTGTGATAATGTTTGTTTATACAGGTGTGAGTGTCTTTCATCTCCTTCAGGGCCCCCATAAAACTCTCCTGGAGGAAGGATTTGGGTAGGTTTTATTCACATTCTCCCTTCTGAGGTCAGATCTGCTGTGAAGAGGAATTAATAGCAGCCTTATTTCCCTGAAGTTGTTCCTCTTAGTCAGATAGGGAAGACTTTTTATCTGTATCTGTTGAATCTCAAATGTCTTCAGCTTAAAATAATCTTTATACTAAAGTGGAATGTTTTGTGGTGGCACATTCTGATTCCCTTCAAGGTCATGATCCAGTAGAATTGGAGTGTGGCTGAGGAACCCACACTTCTAAAAAGTTGTTTGACGTGATAGCTGTAAGAATGGGCATTGGAGTCTGTCTGCCGAGTTCAATAATGATTCCATAATAAATCTCTCTTTGTCATTTATTATACAAGCTTGGACAAATTATTCCATCTCCTAAACTTCTGTTAACATCTATAAAATGTACGTATATGGGGGGAGGCAGAGTAAAGGAGATGCTGATGGTTACTAATCCTTCCAGTGCCTTGCTGTGTTAATGAGTATGTCCCTATCTTAATCAAAATCCAAGTAATAAGAAACTCTAAAAATTATAATATATACTAGTAATACTAATGGAAAGATTCTTATGATTTGCTCACTCTTTATCTCTTTCTAGACAAATACCATTGCCTCTGTGAGAATCCTAGAAAATAACAAACCAAGATTAAAACAAAAATTTCCGTTTTTCTCATTTCCTTCATCATTCTCTTCTGCTGGAATGATATTCCATCCACGAAGCCATTTTCTGTATGCTTATGGTAATCAGGTGTGTACACATGAAATTTCACTCCCTGGTATAGTTCTAAATCATTTACTTACTCTATGCTAGTGGTTATACATCAAGCAAAGAACAGAGTCATTCTGATGATTAAAAAGGTGGAAAGTCCAGTGAAGAGAGAATAAGAGGAAAAGAATTAGTGACAACGAACTCAAACATATCTTTTGCAAATATCTGAAACATGTATCAGTGAAATGTGGCAATGTTTGAGGGAGGAAGGCAGTCAAGAGAAGAGTTTTTGTTTTTTATTTTTAAAGATAGGAGGAATTATGCTGTGTGCTAATGGGAATTATTCAGTAGCGGGGGAAGTTGAATAGCACAGGAAGGAGGAGAAATTGCTGGGGTGATATTTCTAAATAGATGAGAGGAGAGGAGATCTCTGAATTAGGGGAAAGGTTGGCCTTAGGAGCATCAACTATTATTCTATAGCAAAAGGAGGAAGGAAGAGTTTTGGGGTTCAAACGCTGATAGGTGGGTATATTGGTAATGGAAGGGTGTGGGAATTTATTTTCTTGTGTCTCAACAAAAATCAACGTTGTTATTTGAGAATGAGGAAAAAGGGGGAATGTTGTGGGTTTGAAGAAAGAGAAAGCAGAGCAAAATAATTGCACAGGAGGGTGGGATAATGAATTGACTAAAATACTTAACTATGATTCTGGAAAATCCACAAATATTTGGAAATTAATCAGCACATTTTTAAACAACCAATGAGTCAAAGAAATAATAAGAAGGGAAATTAGAAAATACCTTCAGAAAATTAAAATGAAAATAGAACATACCAAAACTTAGATGCAGCAATAGCAGTACTAAAAGGGAAGTTTATAGCTATAAACACATATGTTAAAAAAGAAGAAAAATATCAAATTAACAACATAACTTTACAATTTAAGGAACTAGAAAATGAAGAACAAACCAAACCCAAAGCTAGCAGATGGAAGCAAATAATAAAGACTAGAGCAGAAATAAGTGCAATAGAGAAAAGAAAAACAATAGAAAAAAATCAACAAAACTACAAGGTGGTTCTTTAAAGATCAACAAAATTGATAAATCCATAGCTAGAATAACTAAGAAAAAAAGGAAAGACTCAACTGAACTAAAATATGAAAAGAGGCAACATTATAACTGATGCCACAGAAATAAGAAAGATTATGAATATTATGAATAATTGTATGCTAACAACCTGGATAATCTAAAAGAAATGGATAAATTCCTAGAAACACACAACTTACCAATACTAAATCATGCATAAATAGAAAATCTGAACTGACCAATAACTAGTTAAGAGATTGAATCAGTGATCAAAACCCTTCCAACAAAGAAATCCAAGATGGCTTCATTGGTGAATTGTTCCAAATATTTAATGAAGAAATGACACCAGTCCTCCTCAAATGCTTATCAAAAAAAACTGAAGAAGGAATACTTCCAAGGTCATTTTATGAGGCCAACATTACCCTGATACAAAAGCTAGGCAAAGATACTATATGAAAAGAAAACCAGAGGCCAGTATCCCTGGAGAACATTGATTTAAAACTTACTCAACAAAATCCTAACAAACTGAATTCAATAACACATTAAAAGGTTATGTACACCAAGAGCAAATGGGATTTGTGCCTGGAATGCAAGGATGGTTCAACACATGAAAATCAATTAATGTAATACAACACATTAACAGAATGATGAACAAAACCCGCATGATCATCTCAGTTGATGCACAAAAACCTTTTGACAAGATTCAATACCTTTTCAATATAAAAAAACACTCAGCAAACAAGGACTAGAAGGAAACTACCTCAGCATAAAGAAAGCCATATGTGAAAACCACACAGCAAACATCACATTCAGTGGTGAAAGACTGAAAGCTTTTCCCCTAAGATCAGGATCAAGGCAAGGATGGCCACTCTCACTATTTCTGTTCAGTACAGTACCGGAAGTTCCAGCCAGAGCTATTAGACAAGAAAAATAAATAAAAGGCATCCATATTAAAAAGGAAGAAGTAAAATTATCTCTGTTCACAGATGATATCATCTTGTCTTGTATGTAGAAAACTCTAAATTTCTACCAAGAAAACCCATTAGAACTAATAAATGAACTCAACACAGTAGCAAGATACAAAGCCAAGATGCAAAATTGTTTGTTTTGATATACTAAGAATGAACAATCAGAAAAAGAAATTAAAAAAAAACAATTCCACCTAAAGCATCAATAAAAATAAACAACATCAAAAAGAATAGAAAACCTAGGAATTAACCAAGGAGGTGAAAGACTTGTGCACTGAAAACTATAAAACATTGCTTTAAAAAGTTAAAGAATATATAAATAAGTGGAAACATATTGCATGTTCATGGATTAGACAACTAAACATTCTTAAGATATAAATATTACTCAAAGCAACCTACAGATTCAATACAATACCCATCAAAATTCAAATGGCATTTTTTGCATAAATTCAAAAAAAGCTATCCTAAAATTCATAAGGAGTTCAAGGGACCCTGCATAGCCAAAACAAACTTGAAAAAAAAATTTTGGTGGGAATGGGAAGTTGGAACTCTTGTGTACTATTTGTGGGATTGTAAAATAATGCAACCACTGTGGAAAACAACATGGTGGTTCTTCCAAAAATTACAGGTAGAACTACCATATGATCTAGAAATCCTACTACTGGTATAACCCAAGAGAACTGAATGCAGGATATATGTGTGTGTGTGTGTGTGTAAGTATGTAGAATTTTCAAGTTGATAACTGGTTACCTCTAGAAAGGGGTACAATAGACTCTGTATCAGATGAGGTATAAAAGGAGAATTATTGGGATGGTAGTCAAAGAGACTTCAGCCACATTTATAATGTTCTAAATTTAAGAAAAGCCTTTTTTTCTGGTATAACTTGTCATTAAAATACTTTTTAAGAAGAACTTAAAAATCCAGACATTTATATTTGAATAAAACTTAGGCTACGAAAGGAGGTACCAAGCAGGATTCACTCAATGCATGATCTGATTCATCTTCAAACAATTCTTACTGCAAGATGAGGAAATAGAGATTTTTATGTGCTGTGGGGAGTATATTTAAGAATTTACTAAGGCCCCAGGACACACTTTTGCAAATATCAAGACACTCTTCCAACACAAAACATGTTTCCATACATATTTGCTAGATGCCTAGAACATGAAGTCTCATGTCAATATGAGGTCTGCTCTCTCCTCCGTATCCAAATACACCTAGCATGTCATCCTGTCATCCTTTTGTGAATGAGGAGCTTCTGTTTGGATAGAATAATTTGGTTCTTTTATACATTTACCATCCGTATGGTGTAGACCTGAGACTGTCAGATATAGTCATAAAACCATAGGAAGGAAATAGAGGGCTGATCAAGTAGGTAAGATGTCTGTGCATTTGTGTGTGTGTGTGTGTGTGTGATGGATGTGGAAGTATGGGGAAGACCATGCTGCATGACTTGTCTTACGTAGGAAGCTCGGGTTGATCGGTAATTGCTGACTGTTACATGGCAGCTCTTTAGTGAGCTATTATCTTTTTATTCCCTTAGGTTTGGTTTTCAGTTGATGGCGGCAACACTTTTGAATTATTAGCTGACTTTCATGATGATATCATAAAGAATACTTACCACAGTTTTTATACTTCAGATATTACTTTTGTTTCCCAGAGTGGAAAGGTTTACTTGACAAAGGCAGGTGAGGAATTCATTTTTACTGGTATAAATGCTGCATTTCAGCCAAGGATTAAAAGATGTATGGAGAAAATCTGCTGTATTAATCAACTAATCTTAACTATTACGGATGATAATTTTAAAAAATTTATTGTGGTAAAATACACATAAAATTGACCATCTTAAACATTTTTAAGTGTACAATTCAGTGGTATTAAATACATTGAAAATGCTCTGCAGCCATCACCACCATCCATCCCTAAATTCTTTCATCTTGTAAAACTGAAACTCTGTCCTTTAAACAATAACTTCCCATTCCTCCCTCCCTACAGTGCTTGGCAACCACCACTCTATTTTCTATGGTCTCTGATTTTGACTACAGTAGGGATCTCAGATAGATGGGGTCATATAATTGTCCTTTTGTGACTGTATTATTTCACTTAGCATAATATTCCCCTGGTTCATCTTTTTTGTAACTAATTGCTGAAACGTTTTCATTTTTAAGGCTGAATAATATTCCACTGCATGGATATACCACATTTTTGTTTATCCAGTCACCCATCAATGGTTTTAGGTTTTAGGTTTTAGGTTACTTCCATGTTTTAGCTATTGTGAATAGTGCTGCTATGAATATGGGTGTGTAAATATCTCTTTGGTACCCTGCTTTCAAGTCTTTTGGGTATATACCCAGAAGTGGAATTGCTGGATCTTACGGTAATTATATATATATATATATATCTTGGTATCATTAATATACAATTACATGAGCAACATTGTGGTTACTAGATTTGCCCCATTATCAAGTTCCCACCACACATTTTATTGAAAGCTTTTATCATGAATGGATGTTGAATTTTGTCAAATGCTTTTTCAGCATCTATTGAGATGATCATGTGGTTTTTGTCTTCTTTTTGCTGATGTGGTAGATGATGTTGATGGATTTTTTAATGTTTCACCATCCTTGCATCCTTGGGATGAATCCCACTTGATCATGGTGTATGATCCTAATGATGTATTTTTTAAATTCTGTTTGCTAATATTTTGTTTAGTATTTTTATATCTATGTTCATCAGGGATATTGGTCTGTAGTTTTTTTGTGTGTGTGGTGTCTTTGCCTGGTTTTGGTATTAGAGTGATGCTGGCTTCAGGGAATGAGATTGGGAGTATTCCCTCCTCTTCTGTTTTTTGGAAATATTTAAGGAGAATGGGTATTATGTCTTCTCTAAATGTCTGATAAAATTCAGCAGTGAAGCCATCTGGTCCAGGGGTTTTGTTCTTGGGTGGTTTTTTGATTACTGATAATTTCATTGCTGGTGATTGTTCTGTTTAGATTTTCTGTTTCTTCCTGGGTCAGTCTTGGAAGGTTGTATATTTCTAAAAAGTTGTCCCTTTCTTCTAGGTTATCCAGTTTGTTAGCATATAGTTTTTCATAGTATTCTCTAATAATTCTTTGTATTTCTGTGGGGTCCATAGTGATTTTTCCTTTCTCATTTCTGATTCTGTTTATGTGTGTAGATTCTCTTTTTCTGTTACTAAGTCTAGCTAGGGGGTTATTTATTTTGTGTATTTTCTCAAAGAACCAGTTCATAGTTTCAATTTTTTTCTATTGTTTTATTCTCAATTTTATTTATTTCTTCTCTTATCTTTATTATGTCTCTCCTTCTACTGACATTGGACCTCATTTGTTCTTCTTTTTCCAGTTTCAATAATTGTAACTTTAGACTATTCATTTGGGATTGTTCTTCCTTCTTTAAATAGCCTGGATTTCTATATACTTTCCTCTTAGAACTGCCTTCACTGCATCCCACAAAAGTTGGGGCATTGTGCTGTTGTTTTCATTTGTCTCCATATATTGCTTGATCTCTGTTTTAATTTGGGCATTGATCCATTGATTATTTAGGAGCATGTTGTTAAGCCTCCATGTGTTTGTGGGCCTTTTTGTTTTCCTTGTACAATTTATTTCTAGTTTTATACCTTTGTGATCTGAGAAGTTGATTGACAGAGTATCAATCTTTTTGAATTTACTGAGGCTCTTTTTGTGGCCTAATATGTGGTCTATTCTGAAAAGTGTTCTATGTGCACTTGAGAAGAATGTGTATCCAGCTGCTTTTGGGTGAAATGTCTGTTAGGTCCATCTGTTCTAATGTGTTCTTCAGTGCCTCTGTGTCCTTACTTATTTTGTATCCGGTTAATCTGTCCTTTGGAGTGAGTGGTGTGTTTAAGTCTCCTAGAATGAATCCATTGCATTCTATTTCCCCCTTTAATTCTGTTAGTATTTGTTTTACATATGTAGGTGATTCTGTATTGGGTGCATAGATATTTGTAATGATTATATTCTCTTGTTGGACTGACCCCTTTGTCAGTATGTAATGTCCTTCTTTATCTCTTGTTACTTTCTTTATTTTGAAGGCTATTTTGTGTGATACATGTTCTGCAACACCTCATTTTTTCTCTCTATTGTTTGCATGAAATATCTTTTTCCATCCCTTCACTTTCAGTCTGTATATGTCTTTGGGTTTGAGGTGAGTCTCTTGTAGGCAGCATATAGATGGGTCTTGCTTTTTTATCCATTCTGTTACTCTGTGTCTTTTGAGTGGTGCATTCAGAACATTTACATTTAGGGTGATTATCATTAGATATATACTTATTGCCATTGCAGGCTTTGGATTTGTGGTTACCAAAGGTTTAAGGGCAGCCTATTTACTATCTAACATTCTAACTTAACTCACTTATTATGCTGTTATAAACACAGTCTGATGATTATTTCTCTCCCTTCTTTTTCTTCCTCCTCCACTCTTTAAATGTTATGTGTTTTATTCTGTACTCTTTGTGTTTCCCTTGACTGACTTTGTAGATTGCTGATTTAATTTGGCCATTAGTTAGTATTTAGTTGGTCTACTTCCTTTGCTGTGATTTTATTTTCTCTGATGACAGCTATCTAGCCTAAGGCATACTTCCTCTAGAGCAGTCCCTTTAAAATACACTGTACAGATGTTTTGTGGGAGGCAAATTCCCTCAACTTTCACTTATCTGGGAATTTTTTACTCCCTCCTTCAAATTTAAATGATAGTGTTGTGGATAGAGTATTCTTGGTTCGAGTCCCTTCTGTCTCATTGCATTGAATATATCATGCTATTCCCTTCTGGCCTGTGTGGTTTCTGCTGAGAAGTCTGATTATAGCCTGATGGGTTTTCCTTTGTAGGTGATCTTTTGTCTCCCTCTGGCTGCTTTTAATACTCTGTTCTTGTCTTTCATCTTTGCCATTTTAATTATTGTATGTCTTGGTGTTGTCCTCCTTGGGTCCCTTGTGTTGGGAGATCTATGGACTCCCATGGCCTGAGAGACTATTTCCTTCCCTGGATTGGGGATGTTTTCAGCAATTATTTCTTCAAAATCACTTTCTATCCCTTTTTCTCTCTCTTCTTCTGTACCCCTATAATGCAAATATTGTTCTGTTTGGATTGGTCACACAGTTCTCTTAATGTTCTTTCATTCCTAGAGATCCTTTTTTCTCTCTGCCTCAGCTTCTCTGTATTCCTGTTCTCTGATTTCTATTCCATTAACATTCTCTTCCAGTTCACCCAGTCTGGTCTTAAATCCTTCCATTGTTTGTTTCATTTCTGTTATGTCCCTCCTGAATTCATCCCTTAGCTCTTGAATGTTTCTCTGTAGCTACATCATGCATATGACTTTTATTTTGAATTCTTTTTCAGGAACATTGGTGATTTCAGTCTCACCAAGCTCTCTTTCTCGTGTTTGAGGGATTTTGGACTGAACAAGGTTCTGCCTTTTCATGGTGATGGGACTGTTCACCGGCAAGTGTCACATGTGTCAACAGGGAGAACAAAGTCCCTTCCTGCTTGCTGGTCACTTTGCCTGTCTTCGGTGTTTGTGCCAGTTAACCATACACAGGGAGCAGCCTGTAGGTTAATCCCCTATGCTGCCATTGGTGAGGCATTCCTCAGGGTGGCCTCGGGCACTGGCAGGGTCTGCAGGCCAGCAGCGTGCATTCTGCTGCAAGAAGAAATTTTGAAGAAATTAGGTCCATCTGTTCTAATGTGTTCTTCAGTGCCTCTGTGTCCTTATTCTGTGCCTTCCATATTCTGTGCCCATCTCCTCTATCTGTGCCAGTCAACTGCACACAGGGAGCAGCCTCTAGGTTAATCCCCTAAGCTGTCATGGGCAGGGCGGCCCTGGAGATGGCCTAGGGCATTGGCAGGGGTTGCAGGCAAGTGTCACATGTTCTGCCATGAGAACAAAGCCCCTTCTTGCCTCCCGGACTCTGCGCCTGTGTCCACTTTCTGTGCTGGGCAACCACGTGCAGGGAGCAGCCTCTGGGTCTGGGCCAGTTAGCCGCGTGCAGGGAAAAGCCTCTGTGTTAAGCTGCATGGTTGCTGTAGGCGGGGCTGCTCTCTGACTGGTCTGCGGCAATGGTGGGGACAGCTGGTTCGCTCGCGGGTGCTTGCAGGGAAGAAGGAACAGCACGCTGTCTATTGCCATGATGGGCCTCAGAGCTGTGTTGCCACCCAGGGGGATAGGATGACTAAAATTCCGTAAAGTTCCCAGCCTGCTGAGCTGAGTGTGCCAGGACAATTTTGTCTGCCTGTTAAACCCTTGTCCCTTTAAGACTTTTAAAGTGCCTCCTTTCCTTTTGTCCCATAGCAGCTGGCTGTGAGAACCTGTTCGCAGTCTTAGTCTCAGATTTTGCTTTGCCACTCCTGTAATATCCAGCGCACCATGCAATGTGTGTCTGTGCTCCTGGGGCAGATTACTAGGGCTGGTCATTTAGCAGTCCTGTGCTTCCACTCCCTCCCTACTCTGATTCTTTTCCTTCTGCCAGTGAGTTGGGGTGGGTGGAGTGCTTGGGTCCCGCTGGGTGAGGTCCCTTTTCTGTGAGATGTTCGGTTCTCGTAGATGTAGCCTTACTGGTGTACTGTATCTTCCGGTTGCCCTTTTAGGAATAGTTGTATTTGCTGTATTTTCAAAATATATATGGTTTTAGGAGATTTCCACCACCCTACTCATGCTGCCACCTTTGGGTGGAGTCTCATATTTTTAATAGAATAATAAATATTCTCTTAAAGGAACTGCAATTCTGTTTTTCATGGTGACTGTACCATTTTACATTTCCACCACCAGGATAGTTTCTCCACATCCTCGTCAGCACTTGTTATTATCTGGTTCTCTTTTATCCACATCCTCACCAACACTTGTTATCTCTTGTCTTTTTTTATGATAGCCTAAAGATATTAGTCTTTAAGGCCTAGCTCCCAAAAAGGGAGAATGAGAAAAATGAAGGTGGGGGAGTTCAAAGTCAAACTTTTTTTGTGTGTAAGCTTTCTGATTATCCATAAAGGCGGTACCACCTTATAATTTTTATAAGATCTGTGTGTTACAGTAATCAAGTACAGTCACCCCATTTAATCACCTCAACTCTTGCCCTCCAGAGACCCTCCATCTCATGCCACTACCAGTAATGATTTGAGCACTTGCAATGCCCATGCTCACTTTGGGTTGCCAGTATCACAGTATCTACCAGACATAAGAGGTCTTCTGTGCAGCTCCCAGAATCTCACCTTTGATATTCTGTTTTCCAAGGATGTTTATAGTAAAAATACTATATAGTTACAGTCCTGGCAGGAAACGTAATTCTACTCAAGTTTCACTTGAAGTGCCTTTATAAGGGGCCTGTTTGAAGAGCAGTGGACAGAATTAAAGGAACCAAGAATGATAATAAAATATGCAGAGAGTAACAATGGAAGAAGGTCCCTTTGATTAAAGGAGTAATGTAAATAAATAGATAATGGATGGATGGATGGGTGGGTGGATGGGTGGATAGGTAGATAACATTAGCCAAGCCCAGTCAAAGCTGGAATGGAGGAAGGTTTATCCTGTATGAGATATCATCTAGGAGGCTTACAACCACTGCCAGAACTACATCACTAATGTAGAAAAAAAGATGGTAAAAACTACTTTAACTTCTCTCTCCTTCTTTTGTTCTTATCTCCAGCTAGTGCCTTTCTTTGGACAAACCCAATCAGAAGGTATCTGGAAACAGTATTGCAACTCATAGGGGTCAGCCTTACAGTGAACCAGACAGAGAAGAGAAGGTCTGAGAATGGGTCTGGAAGAATGGAAAGTAGAGGATATACAGTACATGTTGTGAAACAAGTCAAAACAGACTAAGCAAGATTACTTTGGGAATAGTAAAAATACCACCTAAGAAAACAAAATCCAATAGGCAACATAAACTATTATAAATTACAGATATAAATTGTAGAAACATGCCCACATGTAGAATGAATAGATAAATATATGGAAAGAATCTAAAATGACAAATATAAAGGCTAAAGGTTGAGAAACAGCAACTTGTAGGAATTTCCAGTAATGAACAGAGGTAGTGGCTCTGTTTATCTGTCTACAACTCCTGGCACATTCCCTCTAATATGAATGAATGGATGGATGAATGAATACTGAAAGTTGGAACATTAAAGGAAACAAAAATTGGTAATATGACATTAATTTTTTTAAACTAAAAGCAAAAACACTTCTTAGTTGTTTGAAATAGAAAATGTAAATCAATTTTAAAGACTCAGAAAATCAGTTTCACCCTTCAATTTTTCTGCCACAGCAATGAATAGCACAAATTTTTCTACCGAACCATTAGAGAGAAATAATATTACCTAATAATTTGGAGCCAGCTCCTCTCGTTATTCATATGTAAAGCCAACAGAAAAATCAGTAAAAACTGTATTTCATCAAATCTGAGATTCATTGATTGTAAGATGCACTTTATTCTATGAACACAAAGAAAACCTCTTCCAATCAAACTTAATACAGTACTGTAACAGAACTGTAATACAAGGATTACTCTGACATTTCTTCTGCCTACAGTTGCGTGCTTGGTGTGTGAGACAATTATTTTGAGGGTATCTCTCTAGTAAAACATAATTCAATTTCATATACTTGTGGGTTTCTTCTTTTCTTAGGTCCTATAAGATACTTGGTGGCGGTTCTACAAGAAAATGTGGATTTGTAGTAATTCTTCTAGTGACATTTGCTCTGTCTATAAATATATGTCTTGCTTGTTTTCCTCACTTGTACACACAATAACTTTGTTTCAGTGCCAAATTATAATGTAATATTTTTAAGGCATTTAAAGTAGCAATACAACTCAACATGTATTACACCAGTGATTGAGAAACTCAATTAAAATGGACAATATAATGAGCTGAGATAGAGGACATAAATGTGTTGATAATTGACTGCTATGGCGTGAGTGCCACCTGGTGGACAGTATAAAACAAACCAATCATAAAACATCTCAATTTCCAAGATGTTAAAATGTGAAAAAAACATTTCTTATGTTTACAGATGAAATATGGTATATTGAACCTTAGAAGTTGTACAGGTTAATTTTATGTGTCAACATGACTGGGCCAAGTAGGGTCCAGACTAAATAATATTTCTGAATGTGTCTGTGAGGGTGTGTCTGGATATGATTAGCATTTGAATCACTGGACTCCTAGACTGCCTTCCCCAATGTGAATGGGCCTCATCCAATCAGTTGAGGGCCTCAGTAGAACAAAAAGGTGAAGGAAGGAGGAATTCACCCCCCTTTTGCTTCCTGCCTGCTCACTTGAGCTGGCTCACTAGTCTTTTGCTCTTGGACTAGAACTTAAACCAGTGGCCCTCCAGTCCTCACACCGCTGGCCTCTGACTAGGAGTTAGACCATTAGCTCCCCTTGTTCTCAGGCCTTTGGTTCTCTAGCCTCTCAACAGCAGATCACAGGACTTCTCAGCCTCCATAACTGTGTGAGCTAATTCCCCACAATAAAATTCTTCCTATATATGCATCATATTGGCCTGTACGGGGGGGATAGTGGTGAAGGTAGTAAGAAGTGGTTAGGTTCTGCGTATTTTTTGAGACTAGAGTCAGTAGAATGTGCTGATGGATTCAATATAGGGTGTGAGAGGAAGAGACCAAGGTTTTGGACTGAGCATTAAGAGTAAAGCCGTTGCCTGCAGTTGTTGGAAGGAGGAAAGCTAAGTTGCCTGAGGGGTGGGAGCTCAATTTGGAATGAGTTTGGTTTGAAATGCCTAACTTTCAGGGCTCATCAGGCAGTTAGGTATGTGAGTCTGGAGTTCAGGGAAGAGAGTAAGATGGGAGGTTTAAATTTGGGAATCATCCCCACAAACATGGATTTTAAATCCTAAAACTAGATGAGACCCCCAGAGACAGTGAGAGAAGGGATCTAAGAGCTGAGTTCTGGAGCATTCAACATTTAGGGCCAGAGACAAAAGAATGGACCAGGAGAGGCTGGTGGAGCTGGTGGGAATTGGGGAGAGGACGTGGAAATCAGCTTTCTCATCCTGGGACCTGAGCATTCACTCTGACTTCAGCCAGGGGAGGTGGTGCTCTCTTTGTCTGGATCAGTGTGTTAATTGAACGCTACCTCTCAACATATTGCCCTAAGGCATAAGAGACACATGTGACACCAAATGGTTCCACACATTAATCCTAGGATAGCTAGTGACCCAGTGGTCTCTGCCGACAATTCCCCTTGCCTCCCTGAGGGTTAGTTTCTCACTGCCTTTCTGCCTGTCCAGGAATCTGATTTCCTGGAATTAGGAAGAGAAACCACCACCAGGGGGCGCAACCTCTTTCCCCCAGAGCTCTTAAACATCCTCTCACTCCCCTTCACCAACTTCAGCAAGTAGGTTCTGTTATAATACGGAGCCTGGAAAAGACTTTGCAAGATTAACAAAGACTAACATGTATTTGATGAACTCTGGAGCCCCGAGCCCTATTCCTACCCTTTATTATACATGAAGGAGTTTTCACAAGGTATACAGCACTGAAAGTTTTCTGGTTATAGTATACCAATATCAAGAGACTTCTTTTTCTTTCCTAATAGGATTAGGAAGATACAGTAAAATTGGATCTATTTCTGATAAAATTTTTACCTTATACTATGACCACATGGGATTTATCCATAAACTGACTCCAGATCATTTTGAAGCTGGTGGGTCACCTGAAAACCTTGGAAATTCTGAAGGTATTTTTGGAAAGGTCAGTGATATTATGCATTGAAACCGTTCGCCATGTTTTAAGAATAGATGCCACATTCTAAACACAGAGTAATGGGAAAATGGGGAAGTATTTTCCTTGGGACAAACTCTTATCAATGTACTTTGCTCCATTTAACTAAAGGAAAGATCTCCATGTACCAGAGACAATCTCCAAAACTTTCTTCCAAGTAGCACACAGGGTTATATAGGTTTAATTTCATCCAGGAAATCTTCATACAAGTATCTTCACTGCAAAACTCCACCAGATAGTCCAAGCTATCCATTACTTCCAATTCAGGTTTATGGTAGTTTTGTTTTTCTTCCTCCCAAAGCTGATCTTGAAGCACAAGCTCTCTTTTTCCTACTGGTTCACGTTTCTTCTCTCATAGTAACCCTGCCACTCATTTCTTCCTTTCCTAATGCTAACATGGGAAGGAGTTGTTTCCTTCTCCACAGATGATGCTACATACAGATTTTTCTAATAATTTTAACGTACAGCGTGCCAAGTGTGAAGGTATAGAACTCATCCCTGGGCACACAGTCATGAAAAGGAACTCTCATCAATATATCAGCAAAGAATCAACAGGTATTTTGGCTAGGGTTTAATAACACCTGCCCTTTGGCCTAAAGGAAATAGAATAAAGGGTGATTCTGGTTTTAATAGATCAGTTCAAATTACCCGGACAAGACTGTGGTTGAGAGCTGGCGTTTTCGCTTCCCCCACCTGAGGTGTTCGCAGAGAGTGAAGTGGGGCTTTCTTGGGACAGTAAGGCGTTGCCTCACGACTCCCTGCGTGCTTGCAGTCTGTTGTGTGGGCTCCATGTCGATACGGGTCCAATGATGTCTGCAGGAGGGTAGAACTAACCAAAAAAGCAGTTACATCAATTTTCACTAACTTCACAATTTGTATGAAATGTCTTACTTCTCTTCTGTGAAAGTTTAAATTTTATTAAATCTAAAGCCCGTAGGGGTTTTCATACTCAGGATGATTTCAAGAAGCTCACACTCAATGCTATCACCTCCGTTCACAGAGTGAACTACGCATGCATCTCTTGGGTAAAAATCATTACTCCACATTCTTCGGCTCTATGTGCCAGGCACTGCTGTGACTCTTAATCTTTATATTGACTACTTATCCTCATTATACTGATGAAGAAAGTAATGCATAGCAGGCTAGATAACTTATCCCAAACCACACCCAACACTGGTCAGTTGCTGGACTCGTGTGTCTGTTGAGGCAACATGTTCCAGGCCTGTGTGCTCAGTCCCCGTGGTGGCTTTTGTTGGACGTGCACATACTTTCCCTGGGCTCTCCTTGCCGCCCCCAGGCACGGCTGTCATGCAGAATCCCAAAGCCTTTTCAGCCTTTCCAGATCCTTGAGCCACCTGTTCAGTCCTGCATTTATTCTCCTGGAGCCTGTTTCCCACTCTCTTCCCTTTTCAGAGGGTTCCCAAATTCAAGAGACTAGGGGAAAAGGCATGATAGAAATGGGCCTTGGACGCTCTGTGGATGGCTGCGCCAGGAATCTGCAGTCTGCCCCCCACGCCTCGTGTCATAGCAACAAGGCCAACCCCAATGCCCATTTTAGGGCTGGCCCCGCCTCTCGTCTCACCCCCAGAGGCTCCCCAAGCTGGGCAGGCTCAGGACCGGAGAAGGGTATGCTGAAGAGAAGACACCCAGGCCAGAAATCTGGCTCCATGGGAAAGCCTTGTGGACCAGAGGACGTGAGAAAGGCACATGCCTCCAGCACTGGGGACTCAGGCAGTAGCCATGTGGCGCCACTGGTGTGACGCTGGGAACAAGCTTCCCAGTGAGGAGCGGCACTTCACAGACCCTTTTCTTAAGTAAATGCGGAGTAAGAACAGAGTTCTAAAATTGGCACCTCCAGACTCCTCACACGCACACAGTACACCACAGAAGACACTCGATTCCAACCTGCTAGAAAGGGCCCAGGAATCTTAAACTGAATCTTCCTCCTCAGCATATCTTTTCCTCTTCAACAGACTATGCATTTTCCCTTGTGCACACACAGATATTCAAATAGAGCGTGTTGAAATATTACTCCTCTTGATAAACAAAACAGTATTGTTTTGATGTAAACTGGAAACAAACCTGTTTTTTGCATTTTGTCATAACTGAAGGGTGAAATAGTATAAGTACAATGTTTTCTTTTTTTCCTATTCCAGGCTCCTGATATGGGCTTTGAGACTGCGCTTGCTCCACAGTTTATTACCCTTAATGAAATGATCTTTTATGCATATGTACCCGAGAGTGAGCCTGAGGAAAGTGTATCCACCAAGAAATTCAACAACATGCACTTCGGACAAGTGATACACTCCAGGTAATTACTGATTTGCCTCACATGTATTTAGATTGCGCACCAGTTCCTAAATTCTAAATTTTGAGCCTACTTTTTTGAGTAATTTTCTTGATCAAATAGAGCAAATCTTTGACACTTTGCAAGGCCAAAGAGTCGCCAGGGTGCCTTGAATGATGCCCCAAGTTTAGAAACACAGTCATGCTCTAGAAATGTGTGTTTGTCATCTTGAGTACCAGAATGGTCTGGGCTCTACCGGATACTGCTTATCCACAGTGTTCACACATGGCAATTTTTTATGTCCTAAAGACAAACACATCTGACATAGAGAAGGCTGTCTTGCATGAAATAGTGCATGGCAGGGTATGCAGAATTCTCAGGAATGCTTGCTTCTAAGTTATCAGCAAGAGCCTGTGATCCTTAAAGCTACCTACAATGGCCTAAAAACTCTCCTTGAAAAACACTGTGAATTCTACAACTCCCAAAATCTAACAACCAGAAGAGGAACAATTTCAGATTACCGGAAACTCACCCTGTCTCAAGTGTGATGGCCCTATTCCACCAGGCTGAAGTCTGTTTATTATAAATGTATCAGGCTGTCAGTACCTATCTTGCCCCATAGCCAACACCTCCATGCACTGCGGGGCAGCTGACTCAGAGGTGGAGATGGAGACTGGAATCAGACAAAACATAACAAACACTGGAGGTAGTGTTTTTGTTTTTGTTTTTGTTTTTGTTTTTGTTTTTGTTTTAATATGAGGGCTGTAGATGTTTTTGTCTCTAAGAGAAGTATCTGTGACCTCTAGAGCTATTTTTTGTTTCGATGGCTTTTGTAATTGTGACATTCCAAGTCAGCCAGTTCATGTTTCTACAGGTATGTCCTTGTAGAATTTGAAAACCAGAACAGTACATTCTGTGATCAGATTCAATAACTCAGCTCTCACAGAAACTAGGGAATAGGATCTCCAAAACAGGAAATGGGAGCAAAGAGGCAGGGTGAGAGAAGTGGAGGCAAGTGGGACTTCAACCAGGCAGGTCAAAGATTTGGGAGCCTGAAGAGGTCAGCAATAGGCCAAAGGCAGATACTGAGGTAGTCAGGGGGTAAAGCAGGGTGAGCCTTCCCTGATCTCCTCCACAAACAACTACTTAACACTTACCACATGCAAGGCATTCTGGGAGGTGTTGTGATAGAAGGCAAAGAAGACATCCGAGCCCCTGCACTCCGTGAACTTGTATCCCAGCACAGGAAGTAGACTATTATGTAATTACACTTGACCTTAAGTCTGCAACAAAGGAGCATAGAGCGCTGACAGTGTTTTCCTGGGGGCTGAGCCCTTGTTTGGAGGATCTCAGGAGGTTTCTCAGAGGTAGTGATGCAACGATGAGCTGGGAAGAAAGAGGATGAAGGGGCAGGGGTAAGATTCCCGACTGAAAGAGCCACATGGAGAAGGCCCCCAGGCCAAAAGGAGCAGGATGTGTGTTTGAGAAACCAAAAGCAAACCAGAGTGACTCCAGTGTCTGGAACAAAGGGGACAAGTCATTCAGGAGGGCCAAGCAAGGTCAGGTAGGGCCTTTTCAGTCCCAGTAAGGAATTTGGATGTTATTCCAAGAAAGGAGGGAACACTCAAGTCTTCTAATTCCGTGTAATTTGTTTCCTGAATAAGCTGGAGAGACCAGCTTTATTTATCCTCCTACTTTCTCTTCAAATCTCCTCTATGGACTTACTTCCTTTCTAGATGAAGGTATCAGGCAAGTGAAAACAAATATTTTCTTGGCTTAAAAACACCTAAATCACATGCCTCCATTCCTGTCCAGTGTTCTAGAAAAAGTCAAACTCTTATCCAGTTTAAATCCAGTTTCCCACCCCCTGTTTGGGCCTGACCCAGACCGGTGAGCTTGGGGAGCGGCAGTATTTCTCATTATTTTCTGGCTCATGTCCCCCTCCCTCAATCTTATGGCTTCTAGCCCTTCCAGATTTGGTCGAGAGAAGGTGTTAGAGGGCCCAGAGTCCTCTGGGGGGAGCAAGGCCACTCCTGCAACTGACAGCTGCCCCTGTCACCTCTAGTCCTCTGGAGCCCTCTGCTCAGGTGGGTCTCTTCACCCTCCCTGGAGTCCTTCTGGGCAGCTTTCTCTTCTTTCCTGCCTCTCCTTCATCCCCATCTCTGTGCCAGTCCCCAGAAGTAAGCATTGTCTTGAATTTTGTGAGAACATTAAAAAACACATACATATGTATCAAATATATTGTTTAGTTTTGCCAAATATGTTGTTTAGCTGTGTCTACCTTCTTCTGCGACTTGCCTTTTTCATACATGATGCTTTTTAAGTTGCTGGATATTGATGTCTGTACCTGTAATTCACCCACATGAATATGTCACAATTTATTTAGCTTGTCTGTGTTTTCTTGTAATAGTTTTAAACTTTTGCTTTTCATTTGTAAGTTTTTAATTTCTCTAGGATTTATGTTATATGTAATCTGGAGTGGGAATTTTCTTCCTTCCTCCCTCCCTCCCTCCCTCCCTCCCTTCCTCCCTCCCTTCCTTCCTTCCTTCCTTCCTTCCTTCCTTCCTTCCTTCCTTCCTTCCTTCCTTCCTTTCTCTCAATATAATAACAAATTATCCACCCATGTGTCTCCTTTCCCCAGTGACCTGCTGTGTCACCCCTGTGATAGATCATGATTTCATATACATACTTGTCTGTGCAGGTTTATCTCATCGCTGTATTTGTCTTCCCTGTGTCACACCGACTAAGTTTCTCCGTGTAACATGTGGGAAGAGCACCCGTCCTGGTTTTCCTTAGCCTTTGCTCTTGCACTTAAATGTAATGACTCCACTTGTTAAGTTCCATTAAGGAAAAGAACCCACAGCAACCTGTTAATAGAAATTACCACTTGTGGCCACATTCTGCCTTATATCTACAGTGAGATCTTGGGGGGAAATGTCTGGCTCTTCCCATCAGAAGATAACTGTACTTTGTTCTCTTAGAATGTTTAGGCCCAAGACAGCCTCCTCACACTCCATAAGGTCATTATTTTATGTATTTTATTTGTATTTCATTTATATTTATATTTATTTGTATTATATCCACAGAGTTATTATTTTATCCGTCCCTCACCTGTCACGTGGCTTTGCCTGTGCCCTGTGAATGAGTGGGTTTGCTTCCTCTCTCCCAGTAACTTAGAGCTTTTGCTACAGAGGAGAGAAAGCTGAGAGAGGGAGCTGCACCCATGAGGCACCCCTCCCCAGCAGCCCCCCTCCTACCTCATCCCTGCCCATTACCTCTTTTTTTTTTTTTTTTTTTTT